CAGTAGCACAGATTCATTGAAAGTGATCATTTAGGACCAATCTTATTTCTTCTTTGATAGGCAACCTAACAAATGAACCAATAACAATAATAGCTAACACGCACGGACAGCCTGCTGCCCACCAGATACTGTTGTTTTATACAGTGCTGTGCTGTGGAGACATGCTTGGCTTGGCCTGTGGATTTGGAAGGAGCAAAGACTACTTAGAAGTATTACCTTTTCACCGTGACCAATCTCAACCACTCAGCTTGGATTCAAAGCACCAACAAGCACAGACAGGCTAAGAGACAGGGCCCGGCCCGGCAGCAGCATGTGGACAGACCCCAGGTTGCTGTTGATCTGGAGCTAGGGACAAGGTGCCTTCTACAACTGCCCTGGCCTGGAGCTGCACAGTTAGAGGTCAACGCCCGAACCCCATTGACTGGCCATGCCTATTTCTCACCGCGACTCCTTGGTGTTGGAGCACACTTGGCCCAAGAAGGGAGCTCCACCCGAAAGCCCTCCCCGGGAAAGGGGGAGGGGCTGGGAGATGTGCCTGGCCATGGGGGAGAAGAGATGCCAGCCCACAGGAAGGAAACTGAATGCTGGGATGGTTTCAGAGAAGCAGAATCCACCCCTACGGAAGGAAGTGCTTGCTGACCAGCCAGCTCCCCACTGCTGAAGCAGGCCCTCAGAGAACCATCCAGGGCTGCAGGACTGCAGGCAGGGAGGAGGCTGTTTGAATGCAGAATCAAGCAGTGCCCAGTTGAGGCTCTTAGAACCACAGAGGTGGGGAGCGCTGAACTGGAGGTGACCTGCACTGAGGTTTCCTGCCTTACCTCGAGTCTCCCAACAGCCTGCAAGGCTGTGCACTGACACAGGAGAGAGAGGCAGAGGCCCTGGAGGTGAGGAGATGCACCGACTCCTCCCCATGGTGAGGAGTGAGGCACTCTGCTCTCACCAGCAGAGCTGTTGTCAGGACCCTGATGCTTCCAAACAAGCACAGACAGAAGAGGAAGGAAGCTCCACCTTTTTCCTCTAGCTTTCTGAGAAGTGCCTGGGTCATAATGTTTTGTTCCTAGAATTATAAAAATTCCATCAATCTCTGCACTCCCATATCAGTCTTCACAAAAGAACGGACCTTTTTAAGCAGCTCAGCAGCCTGCTGCTTTCCTTGTCACAGAGGGGAATAGTTACTCATGCTTTAGTCAAAGAAGAGTCAGTGAAGTGTGTGTGGGCCACGCACTCATGATGGAGCCTTCCCATAGTGCGAGTCTGCGCCGGGAGGAACTCAGCCGGAGGAGCAGTGGGGCGGGATGGAGCGACCCTGGGCAGCAGGAATTTCAGGCTCACGTTATTACTGTCTCCACGTGGACACTCCTGAGACCCACAGTCGCTGCGGCACTGTCAAAAGCATTCCCATGGTAGCATCGCCCTCTCTCAAGTACGCATGCCAAGGCCGAGTGAGCCATTGCAGGGACCAGGCCCTGGGGCCTCCAGCTCCACCCACCTGCTGTAGCCCCCAGGAGGAGGACCCCAGGCAGGTGGCTTCCTGAAGGCCCTGGGCCTGGAGCTCCCTTCTTGCTACCAGGGATTCCAGGGGGCAGGCACAAGCCTTGGGGTGCCACTGGGGTGGCACTGGCCGGGGACAAGGCTTTAGCCTTTGCCTCAATGGCACAGAATCCAGTCTGAGACGCCTCAGTCTATGGCAGGAAGTAGCCCTGTCCTGGAGCCACTCAGCCGGGCTGAGCCAGCAACACAACAGACAGTGAGGAGGAGGGCACTCCAAAGCCCTCAGAGGTTGGAGAGATGCTACAGAGAAAGACCCCTAGGGCAACCTGAGAGGAAATCTGACTGTTTATCCACACCCACTGCCTCGCTCTGAAAGGGTAGGACTGGCGGACATGCACCAGTCTTCCTCATCAATACAGCGGACAGAACAAGAGCTAGGACCGAACACTCTGGGCCCGACACAGTCATTCGCCACTGCTGGCCTCAATTTCCACATCTGTGAAATGGAGGAGACCACCCAGAACTGGGAGGAGATTGGACAGTTGTGTCAGCCCACTCAGAACCAGCCAGCCTTTGTCTCCCTGGTTTAGGAGGCAGATGGAGGTATCGCCTCCCATCCCTTCCGCTCACATCAAGCACTTTTCTGAGAAGCATGCAGAAGACACCCCACCCCGTGAGCCACGGGATGCTGGACCCCAAGCTGAGGTTGGGATCTGAGCAGCATGTCCCCGAACAGGCCTCCAGAATGCAGAGAGGCGCACAGCCACCGTGCTCGGCGGCCCTGAGCCCTACAAGACAGGTGCCACAGGGGCACAGGCAGGCCCTCCCAGCCTCTCAGCTTCAGGTCAGGGATGCAAGCCCAACATGCGCCACAGCCTGAGTGACCACAGCCTGCACCCCGGGGTAGGCCCTGTGCTCTGACCCTCCCTGAAATTCCAGACTCAGGCCAACATGTCTACCTGCTGGCCAATGGACACCTCAAACCCAGCAGGTACAAAAAAAGCTCTCAGTTTCTTCTTTTGTAATAATATAAATACATGAGGAAATAAATGCTCAACAGTAATCAAATTTATGCATACAAAGAGAAAATAAATGCCATTTTCAAATGTCCGCTTAGTACCTGTTGGGGTTTTCTGAAATAAAATACGCTTTGAGTTACTAGTGCCTCCCAGTTAGCTCACATCAGAAGTGCAGTTGACAGTTAACACCTGTCTGGTCGTCCACGTTTGCCGCTCTCCACCGAACCCGTCCCACAAGCCTCTGCCCCTGCACAGCGGCCCTCCCTCTGCCCTCATGCCTGCTGCTCACTCCCAATCTCCCCACACTCCTGCCACCCGCAGCCCTCGGCCTCCAGCCAGCTGCCTCCAGCCAGCGGCTCGGCCAGACAAGATCAGCCCTTGCTCCTGTGTTCGGCCTCATTCCCACGGCCCGTCCGTCCGCAGCAGGTCTTCTCAGCCCGATTTCCCAGCTGTCCCACGGGGATCAGTTCTCTCCACTCCACTGCCACCAGCCTGGTCCATGGCACAGCCTGTCACTGGGCCAGCGGCTCCCAAATACGTGTCTGCAGCACTCTCATTGCCTGCTTTCCCACAGAGCATACGCCCTTGCTCAAAATCCTTCCAAAGGCTTTCTCCCAGAAATCAGATGCAGCTCTGTGACTGGGGCTTCTCCTTGGCCCCTGTGCTCCCCGTGTGCTGCCCACAGGGCTTCCCTCTTCCTCTCCCCTTGTGCTGTGGTTTCCATGTGCTGGAGCCCCAGTTCCTGCACCTGGCAGTCCTGGAGGTGGGGCCCAGGGTAGGTGTTCGGCCGGGGGCAGAGCCCTCTCGAGGAAGGTCCCTTACTGTGAGAGCCGCTGCTGCTCCCTGCTCCTCAGGCTGCCTCTCCCACCATGTGACCTCTCTTCTGTGCTTGCTGCCGCTCTTCCACCTGCTGGTGTGATTTCAGCAGCAAGTCTCTCACAGACGTATCAGTCCGATCTTGCGCTTCCTGGCCTCCAGAACCTTGAGTCAAATTACTAAATCTTTCCTCTGTAAGTTACTCAGCCTCAGGTACTCTGCTATAGCAACAGAAAATGAACTAAGATACTTGGTCACCCCGCTCCTTCTCATAATTCAAGTCAGAGTTCAGATGGGACCCTCTTAGCGAGGCTCTAGCCTGACGCAGCCCCCTGGCCCTCTGGATCTTATCACCCTGCATCAAGGCTCGGCAAAGCGCTGGCCACCACCTGGGTTGTTCTTGACTGTCTCCTGTTTTATCTGGTGTCTGGAATCCCACTGACCTCTAGGATGTCAGTTCCCCACTCTACCCCAGAGCCTGGCTCCCAGGGGCACTGAAGGAGGTTGTTGAGTGAATACTGCCCATCCTTTCAAGGGGTCTGCAGCAAACAGGGTGAGGGTCAGGGCTGAGGTCCAGCGGAAGTATGTATGTGGTAGTGTGGAGGCCGGGACCCCTGAACCGGCACTCAGGTCGGACCCACAGAGTGCCACGCAGGCTCCTCATGGCAGCAGGACCACCGCCGGGACTCAGCTCCCTGTCTGGAGGGAGGACAGGACAGCTGACTCCTCATGCCTGGGCTCGAGAGACTGCACGTGTGACCTCAGTGCCCAGCTCCGTCAGGAGCAATCATGGACACAGGTGCCTTCTTCCTTCCTGAGCCTCCTTGCTCCAGCTGTCCCTCTATTCCTCTGCCTGGGCCTGGCCCAGCCTCCTCGGCCTCTCTGGGAATGTCATTCCCTCCCAGCTCACCCTTCCACCCAGTGGAACTCTGCACCAGGGCTCCTTCTTTGGACCTGCCCTTCCCAGCCGCTTCTGCCCCCTGCCCCTTCCAGCGCTGTCTCCTCTCCATTCTGCTCCCTGGACCATGGCCTCTGTCCCACCTGCCACTCTCCTCTCCACTCCGAGCTCCTGGCCTCACTCCACCCTGGACCCAGCATGATGTTCCCATCCTCCCAGCATGGAGCACAAGGCCTCAGAAGGAGGCTCGCCAGATCAGAGACCTCGAAGACCCCAGAGAGAAGGAGCTGCAGAACAAGAACCTGCAGTCCACAGGGAAACAGTGAGATGAGAGAATGGGATGCACTGCTCTGTAGTCAGACTCTGGCAGGAAGAAGGGCCCACTGGGAGGAGCAGCTTGACTGCCAGGACAGCCCATGAGCAACAGGGCTGGGGACTGTGGAGAGGGAAGAGGAAGAAGGGGAATAGCTGCCATTTTGCAGGTTCAGTAGGTGGCCTACAGCTGGAGCCAAGCAGGGATCAGAGGACCTAAGGGTGAGCCACACAGCAGCAGTGCTGAAAGCTGAGGTGGGGCAAAGCTAACCCGGGAATGGCACGGCAGGCAGGCCCTCAGCAGCAGGGCTGCGGTCTGCTAATGGGGCCCTGGCAAGCCCCTCCGCCCTCCAAGTCCAAGTGCTCTGCACTCTTGCCTCTAATGTTAGTCTCTGCCACCCAAACCAGAGTCACAGGTCCCCTCACCCCCTCCATCGAGGGAAACACTCGGAGGTTTGCCTTACTGTTGTCCAAGTGGTTGGCCTTAATGATCTTCTCCGAGTAATCAGAGATACTGGAGCATTCGATCTAGATGAGACACAGAACAAAGGAGCAAAGCGTCAACAAACCATAGCACAACTGCCACGGTTCAGGTCTTAGATGTTCCCCAAGGGCCTACCTATTGAAAAGCAGTTCTGGTGGGGTTTCGACTTCTAGGTGTGTCTGTGTGGGTCACAGGCAAGGCCTTGGGTCTGTCTGTCCCTCGCCCTGCTTCTTGGCCACTGTGAACTGAGCAGCTTTGCTCCACCACACCTTTCTGCTGTGGTGTCTCTGCCGTGGAGCCAGCTGACCATGGTCTGCAGCCATGAGCAAACTAAACCTCTTTTAAATAGAGGGTGCTGGGTACTGTGCCTCACCAATGAGAAAGTGACCACCACAGCTTGATCTCCAGCCTGTGGGCAAGGGTGGAGGAACCTCTAGGGGATACTGGGATACTGGGAGCACCTTGGCCCCTCCTCTCCCTTTCTGTTTCCCAGTTGCCATGAGGTGTTCTGCCATGTGCTTCCACCAGGCCTTTCTGCCTCACCACAGACTCAAGATGACAGGGCGAGCAACCACTGACTGAGACTTCTGAAGCCATGAGCCAAAAATAAACCTTTCTGCCTTGCAAGTTGTTCATCTCCTTTAGTTTGTAAAGTGATGGAGAGCCGAGTGACACAACATCCAACACCAATCTAGTGGGTGGAGAAGTTGGGTCCCAGAAAGGAGCAGTGGCCTGGCCACAGCTGCACACTGAATTATGGCAAATTGAAAGGTACAGCTCCCCTCTCTCAAGAGACTGAGACTTAGCTGTGGCCCACGATGAGGGACCAGCATCTGTGCTGCAGCCAGCAGGCCTTATGCTCCTGGCCAGAGAAGTTACAAAGTGTGACCTTGGGGGAAGGTGTGGTAGGCAGAGCCAGGCCGGAGCTGCTTTGAGCCTCTACCGGCATTTCCAGGCACTCAGACTCTAGGGTAGAGGGGGCCGATTTCTGGATGAGGACCTTCTGGAAGATGCCAGGTCAGGGCCTGGTCTTAAGACTGGCCCCACCATGCACACGCAGTTAGCTTTCAACCCTTGCTAGGCTTTGGCTCTATGTACCTTAAGCACCCATGCGTTGAAAGCCTGGTGCTAGTGGGAAGTGGTGGAAGCATCAGGAGGAAGGGCTTAGTGAGAGGGCTGATCGTCACTGAGAGTATGCCCTGAAGGAGGTACTGGGATGCCAGCCTCTTCCTCCTCCTCTTTCACTCACTTCTGGCCATGACGTGACAGCTCTCTCCACCATGATCCACTGCCTTGCCACAGGCCCCAAAACGAAGGAGGCATCTGACCATGGACTGACACCTCTGAAGCTATGAACCAGAATAAACCTTCCCTCTCCTTAAATTATCTCAGGTTATGGTCATGGAAAGCTGACTAGCATAACTTTTCTACAGACTCCATCTTAGAAAGAATTTGTTCCTTTTACTGTGCAAGTCTTTCCAAGTCCTCAAATCTCCTAAGTAAAAGGCCAAAGCATTTGAGAGACTAGCAAGCCACACCTGAGATCAGGACCTCATGGACATGGTTGGAGGCCAAGCCAAGGCTGGGGTTGGAGGCCCAGATGTGCTGCCAAGGGGTGCTGGGAGCCAGGGCCATGTGCTGAGAACTGTCTCCATTTTCATAGCTGGGCTGTTCACAAAGGCTGGTCCCACCTCACATGGCCCCAGGGCCTCTGGAAGTGACTGTTTCCTCCAGAAGTCATGGCAGAGGGGCACTGAGGAGGCTGCTGACAGTCTCCACCAATGCCCACCTTTGGGGCTGTTAGAGTGACCTGAGGGGCAGATCCTGGCCAGGGGTCGGCACCAGAGAGCCTGCCTTCCCCTGGGCTGCTAGGCCTGTGGCTTCAGGTCTCACTGTCTGATGAAGAAGAATAATAATAAGAAGAAGAAGAAGAAGATGATGATGATGATGATGATGATGATGATGATGATGATGGTGGGCATGAGGTGCCCTCCCCTCTACACAGGTCTCAGCTGAGCATTCACAGCTAGCATGAGTCTAGGCTTCTGAACTAGGGAAGATGGAGCACTCTCACCATAGGCACCACAGGAGCAGCCTTTGGAAGAGGGGTGGCAAAGGGACCTAGGGCAGCTCCACCCACTCAGGAGCCCTGGCTGTAAGCTGGCCCAGTGAAGGCACAGAAAACAAAGCCTCTGAATGCTAATTCTACTGATGGCCCACTCACATCCAGGACAGAGGTTTGATTACAGTTTACCTTTCATTTTGACCAAGATTAAATCCCATTTTCTGGCTCTCATCTTACTGCATTCTTTCAGATGTCAGCCAGCAGCTCAGACTCTTTTTGTCCAGTTTCCTTCCAGCTCCAGACACCGTTAGCCCCTTGTTATCTGGGCTGTGCAGCTGTGTGTGTTGGGGATGGGGTCAGCCTCTGCCCTGATCTGGAGCCCTACAGTGGCCAAAGCAGCAGGATCTGCCTTTCCAGGAGAAAGGGGAGCCTGTCCTGTCCTCTCCTAGGACCCCATCTCAACCACAAACTCCGAGCATTTGGCATGTGTCAGGCATCGATCCAAGCTCTTTCTGTGTGTGTAACCCTCACAATCACCATACGGGCAAGGTACCTTTATTCAGCCCATTTTATAGGTGGGGAAACTGAGGTGTGAATTGTGCAAGATCACACACTGAATGTGACCAGACCTCACATCTGCAACTGCACCCTACTGCTCTCAAGCCAAGAGGATAAGCATACAGTGGCCTTCTGAGAGCCGGAAATCCTCCACCAGTGTCCATAGTCCCAGGGCAAGAGGCCAGGTGATGCTGTGCGACAGGGAGCCTGCCTGCCTCTTGCAAGTCTCACTTGATTTTCTCTACTTCTGCTTAAAGCTGTGGCTCCAGCAAAAGAGATGGAGCAGCACTAGGGATGTGGCTCAGTGGCAGAGCACTTGCCTCACTTGTTGAGGCCCTGGGTTCAAGTCCCAGAACCACAAAAACATAAAGAAAGATGGGCCCAGAAGTTTGCTTCTGGGAAAGGCCAGAGAGGCAGGAGCAAGGGCCAGCATGAGGGAGGGTGTGGCTTGCTCACCCCGAACACCTTCTTGGCCCCCGCTTTGGCGGCAAACATGGACAGGATCCCAGTCCCGCTCCCCACGTCCAGCACCACTTTGTCCTTGAAGACGTGCTTGTTGTGGTACATGGAGTTCCGGTAGGTGAGCGTGCGCACCTCATCCTTGAGCATTTCCTGCAGTGGAAGGAAAGGAAAACAACGTCAACAACGTGGCTGAGGCTCCGAGGCACCTGGGTGCTCAGCGTCGAGACCCAGGAAACTATTCAAGAGCCACAGTAGCATGACCGGGCAGAGCCACACATGAGCACTGTAGGACAGCTGGGCAGAGGCCACCGCAGCCTCCCAACCCCACCTTTAAAATCCTGCCCAGAGGGCCAGGGATTCAGCTCAGTGGTACTGTGCCTGCCGCACAAGCACAAGGTCCCGAGTTCAATCCTCGATACCACACACAAAAAATTCTGCCCAGAAAGACAGCTTGGCACCACCAGGAGAGGCACCATGTCCAGACCCAGGGAATCTCCAGTTTACCAAAGAACAAAGGGAAGATCATTTCAACACAGCATCAGAGATTTCAGTCAGACCTGAAGAGGAACTCCCACCAAGGTCATTTAATAGGTTTTTAAGGAGACTTTCAATGGGCTTTTTGTTTTGTTTGTTTCTAAGATAAAAAAACATATTTTTCTATCTAGAATTAAGTGCTTTGCAGTAAGAGAGGACCAGATAACCTGTGAAGTTCATCTCTAGTCCCATGAGGACACGGTTGATCTGTGAGGCAGCGATTTCCGGCTGTTCAAGGCATCAGCAGACGCGTTCCGCCAACTCATCACCACTGCGCTGGGCTGAGTTTTTAAAAGAATCAACTTTACAGAGCATAATTTTCACACAATGAAAGCACAGTGCTGGGACACACAGAAATGTGTCCTTAGGCCATCCTGTGAGCGTCTCACGGCTAAGAGGCCGACACCACCATCATGTGACCTCCGGACCACGGTCACACATGCAGCCCAGCACAACTGAGATGTTGTGCAGCACATGAATGCACAGCCATGCTGAGCAGCATCCCTTGGCCCAGGCATTCTGCATGCAGGTGCAGCCGGTTTGCTTCCTCTGCCCATCACTGATGTTGGTGTAAATGGAACCATGGCATCCGTATACTTGGGAGCCCAGCTTCCTTCACTCAGCATGAAGTTTTTGAGTGTCACTGATGTTATGCCATGTATCCAGACTTTGCTCGTTTTTGTTGTTCTTGCTGTAAACAGTATTCCATTTTTATAAGTTTACCACAGTTTCCTTTTTCACTTTTTAAAATTTTTATTTTTATTAGTACCTATTTGCAGTGCGTAATGATTACATTCATTGTGCGGAATTGGCATGTGCACATGACACATCAGATTTATTTTATGACCCCTTCTCTTCCCTCCCTCCCATCTCTTCTTGATGAATATTTGGGACTGCTTCCAGCGCTTTGCTATTATGACTCAAGCTACTATAAGCGCCCTTGTATGAGTATCTAGGGGGATGTATATCTCTATTTTATGTGCTTAAACACCTTCGACTGAATGTTCTGGCTCTTAGGGTAGGAGTGTGTTTAGCTTCATAAGCTACCATTTTCCCCAAAAATAGTTACTCCGTTTTATGTTCCATGAGTACTGAGAGTTCACGCTGCTCCACGTTCCAGGGACTCAGTCCATCTCTCTTTCCCTTGGTGGCCATTCTAATGGACATGGACGGGAGGCTTGTCCAGACGGAACGCATTTTCGTGGTGATACTGATGTGCTCATGTTTGCATGTGTGTGTTGGCTCTTCATAATTATCTCTTTTGTGATATCTGTTCCTGTCCTTTGTTATCTTTTTCTCAGCAGTCTCTTTTTTTTTTTTTTGTATTAAATTCTTTTATCGGTACGTTGTAGGTATACAACACAATTACATTTCTCATTGGGAATTGTACCTTTACATAATGCATCTTGGTTCTTATTTTTTCCCCATTCCTAGCCCTCCCTTCATGCCCTCCACTCTTCCCTATTTACAAAGAATTTATTTCCATTTTTTCCATTTCTCACCATTTTTCCTTTCCCTTCTTTCCTTTCCCCTGCCCCTCCCACTACTCCTACCCCTTTGGACCTTTTCTTCCTATTTTACATTATCAATTATTCATTCTAATCATTGGTACATTTTAGGTATACAATATAATGACATTCATCATTGGAAATTTGCACCTTTACATAGTCTCTCTTGGTTCTTATTTTTCACCCTTGCCCAGCCCTCCCTTCAACCCCTCCAGTCCTCCCTATTTACAACAATTTTATTCCTATTTTTCCATTTTCTCCTATTAATCCCATTCCCTTCTATCCTCTCCCTAGTCCTCCCACTTCCTTCCCCTTTTCAGCAGTCTCTTTTGTACTTACTGAACTGTAGGAGTTGACAGGTTCTAGAAACAAGTCCTTTTTGCTAGCTATACAAAATATATTGAATATTCTCTCCCAAACTGTTTCCTTTTTCTTAGTAATGTAGCTTGAATTTGTTTTTAATTTTGATATATAGTAATTTTTCAGGGTTTCTTTTTTTTCACTTAGGATTAGTACTTTTTGTCCCTTGTGGAGTCTGCCCCAAGATCACAGGAGAGCCTCCTTACAGCTACAACTTCTACCTTTGGGCCTCTGGATCGTTTCACATTGATTCTTGTGTAAGGTGTAAGTCAAGGAGTCAGTGGTTTTCTTATACAAAGAAGTAATTCAGGCACTATCTGTCGATCGCCCTCACTGAGTGACCTTGACGCCTTTCTCACAACCAGCTGACTTTCCGTTTATGGAATTGATATACCAATTCTATCCTGACTGGATTTTTGCAGCTTTATGTTAACTTTGAAATAAAGGACTGAAAGTCTTCCAACTTACTTCTTATTTTATAAGATTTTTCTTTTGTCTAGGTCTTTTGTATTTCCATATAAACTTTAGAATCAGCTTATTAATTCAGAATAATACCTGGGGGTATTCATTGGAATTGCATTGAATCTTTAAATAAATTTGAGGAGAACTGACATTCTAGAAAAATTGAGTTTTACAAGCCAAGAACATAATATCGATTTCTGTTTATTTAGGTCTTCTTTAATTTCTCTCTGAAATATTTTACAAATTCCCTTCATTAAATTTACTATTGCATATGATGTTTTAAAAATATTATTTCCCACTGACTTGTACTCTGCAATATTGCTCCCTTCACACATTAATGCTAATAGAATTTTCTGGGGTTTTTGTGGACTTTTTTATTTTTCTATGTAAAATCTTGTGACTTATGAATAAAGACAACTTTATTTTTTCTATCTGTATGCTTTTTATTTTTTCTACCTGAATTTTATTTTATTTTATTTTTACTAGTCCACGTTTGCAGCACATGATGTTTACCTTCCCTGTGTGGAGTTGGTGCATGGACATAAGATGTCTTAATTCCTTTTTTCATCCCTTTTCCTTCCCTTCCCTCCTCCTCTCGATCCCCTTCCCATTCGAGAAATATCTTTCTCTCTACTTCCTGTTATCTATATTTTATTTTGCTTTTTATAATTTGGGTTCTCACACAAGAGAAACCATGAGATGTTTTAAGCTTGTGTGTCTGATCTATTTCACTGAACATTATGGTCTCGAGGTGCATCCATTTTCCTGCAAATGGCTTGAGTTTATCCTTCTTTATGGAAGAGTGGTACTCCATTGTGTGTAAATACATTTTCTTTATCCATTCATCTGTTGATGAACATATAGGCTGCTTCTAAGATTTTGCCTGCTGGGAGCATTGCACTGTAGATCACCAGGGCCAGGTCTAACTCACCTCCTCCTGTGGATGAGGTAGGGCCCCTCATGGAAGGAGGAACATGCATCTTGTTTACTTCCTCCCACGGATGAGGCAGGGCCCACAGGAGAACAGTGGACAAGAGGATGTGGTGGACCAAGGCTGAGAAGAGGGCTGTCTTCCTCCCAGCCCATTCGCCAGAAAAACATCAAGCATGATGTGCTGTAGACCTTAGCTGCTCTCCGGCTCTGGTTACAGACCAGCCCCTTTACCTCCCCCTGTGCTTCTCTTACCTCTGCGCTGCAGTTGCCTGAGGTCTTTCCCTCCCATCAAGAGGTAGAGCCCCACTTGGCCCCCAGCTTATTTCTCTTTGTCTTTTCTTAATCTGCCACCATCATTTCTCACTCTGTGGACACTTCTGCCATGGGGGCCATGGCATTAGCTATCATGAATTGTGCTGCTGCTGTAAACATGGATGTGCAGGTATCACTGTAATATGAGGTCTACTCTTGGGGGAAATACTTAGAAGGGGAATATCTGGGTCAAATGGAATTTCTAGTTTTGGTTTCTTGAGGAGGCTCTGTACCAGTTTCCATAGTTGTACCAGTTTACATTCCCACCAACAATGAAGAAGGGCTCCTTCTCCCCTGCAGCCTCACTAGCAGCAGTTTTTATTTGACTATAACAGCCATTCTTTCTGGTGTAAGATGGAATCTCAGTGTTGTTTTAATTTGCATTTCTCTAATGTTGAGCATTTCTTCATGTATTTATTGGCCATTTGTACTTTCTCTGTGAAGCATCTATTCATTTCACTTGCCCATTTTTTAATTGGGTCTTTTATTTTGGGGGATATAATTTTTTTTAAGTTCTTTTAGATGTGAGTCCTCTGTCTGAGGAATAGCTGGCCAAAAAAAATTCTCATTGTATGGACTGTCTTTTCACTCTGTTGGTTTTTTCCTTTGCTGTCCAGAGCTTTTTAATTTGATGTGATCCCATTTGTTGATTTTTAGCATTATTTCCTGTGCAGCCAGGGTTCTGCTCAGAAAGTCCTTGTTTACACCTACAACATCAAGAGTTTTACCTATATATCTTCCAGAAGCTTAAGTGTTCCTGGTTTGACATTTAGTTCTTTGATCCATTTTTTAGTTTAGTGACAGATACGGGTCTAGAATGAATCTTTTGCATGTGGACAGCCAGTTTTCCCAGTCCTATTTATTAAAGAGGCTGTCTTTCCTTCAGTGTGTGTTTTTGGCCCATTTGTCAAAGATCAAATAGTAAATGTGCTTGGCTTGTTTCTGCTTCTTTTCTGCCACATTGATCTTCATGTCCTTATGCCAGTGCCATGCTGTTTTTATCACTGTAGCTTTATAATATAACTTCAAATCTGGGATTGT